GTCAAGTCAGTATCGGTCATCATCATGAAAAGAGCACAGTACCGGGACAGGTATGGTAGAAATCCTTGTTCAGGAGCTATAAATATATATCTGGTGGTTAGTGACAACTGCATATGTTGCTGCTGGTGGTCAAATTTTGCATAAGGGGTGGATGATGTCGTTATTGGTGATTGCATACATCATTTGCAGCCTTGGCAATATCACTGAAAGCAGCTGGGGGTGCCATAGTGGTCTAAGGAAAAGATGATAAGAAGGATACGTCAGGTAGAGATACAATGGGAGGCTGGCGATGCAGAAAAGCTAAACTCATGGGTATCCAGAACAGAGATGTTGGAGTTGAGGTTGCGCCTGGAGCGAGGAGCGGTTGGGGATAAGCGGGCTTCCGTTTTGGGACGAATTTGGTCAGAGAACAAACTGTAGGAGGATAACGTTCGTTGTTTATTACTAAACTAACTACGCGAGAGCAATACAATATGTTGGGGGGCACGTGATAGGGCAGCCGTAGTACCCCCTAACACAAACGCTGGTCACATGGCCGCGGCTGCTGATTGGCTTGTCCGGCGGATCGGGAGTCGGATATTTACGGGTGTATTGAAGTGTTTCAGCTAATTACAGGTAATTATGAGGAAAATTGATTCTGTAACAGTGGAGAACATCCTGATACAAAGGATTGTAACAGAACACTTTACCACTCCATTGGAAATTCTGCTCACACACACACACACACACAAAACGTAGTACGATGTTCTCTGTATTCAAGTATACTTATGTTCTTCAATACATGATCGATATCTGGATATCAATCTTTTGAAAATTACACCTTCAAGTACCTTGTGTGTATGCGTCCACCTTATAAAAGCTCCCTAAATTTGAACAGCTATGTCATGTTGATAATGGCATTGTGGTAAGGCGCACCTGCAAATAAGGAAATAGCATATATATCGATCATACGCCTATACAAAAGGTTGGCCTCCTCAAAAGCCATAGATCTATGTTATATGTATAAGAACGTGTAGGACGAGGAGGAGGAGGAGGAGGAGGAGATGAAGGAAACTGCGGACATATACACATTTCAGAGAACGGAAAGGGGTAATAATGGCTTTGGGCGGCCACGTTATCTATGTGTAAAGAAATGCCCCTAACTATGCAGGATAAGGG